GATCAACAGTACCTTATCAGCAAGGCTGCCAGTCCATTTCTAATCGAAACCAATATGAAAGCCATAGTTATCATCATTCTGAAACTCCACTTCATCGAAACCATCGTCACTCTGAAACTTCATCTCACTGAAATAATCATCGTTCTATAACTTCACCTTGCAGAAATCACTGTCATTTTAACATACTGTCTAACTGCTGGCCTGAAACTTTGAATCGGAATGTTAATAGAAATTATCAAGATACCAGAAGTCATAGTCAAAGATCTATTTTACCAGCAAACGAATGTTCTCGCCACCACTCAAGAAGTCCTAATGAACAAAAGGATAAAGGTGACAATATACATAAAAAAAAAATACCACAAAGCTAAAACAAGCAAATCTTATAAGATTTGCTTAGTATAGCTTTGCGGCAAAAAGTTTTTACTAATAGAGCTATTGAATTATCAATGTATCTAACAAAAGATTTATATTAATAGAAATTGCTCTTTTAACAACTATGGTGCAAAGTCTAATTAATGAAGTAAGAATATTAAAAGCTGATAAATCAACTGCACTGAAAGATCGTCTAGTACATATTGTGGATGATGATAATCAAACAATCTAAACAAAAGCATGATACCTCTAAGAATTTCGATTAGTCTCAAAAATTTCCAATTACTGAAACTATAAAACTCTATACAGTCAGATCTCCCTAAATGCAACCTCCATAAATGCAATACCTCTCTAAATGCATATTTTTGTCTTGGTTGTATGAAATCATTAATGCTAAATGCACATTCTATATTCTGCAAATGCACATTCATTCAAAAGATTTTTTATATTATACTAACCTCTCTAAGTGCACGTAGCCAATCAGAAGTCAGTATTTAAGTTTGTTACACAAGTTTGCAGATCAAATATTAAAAGCTGCAATTTGATTGGCTCCCTCTAAATGCAAACCTCCCTAAATGCATGTTTTAGACTAGTCTGTACATGTTGCATTTATAGAGGGTTGACTGTACCAGATTTGACAATATACTTGCACATCAACTTTTCAAATTTATTAAACTTTATCTTATTGAAGGCTATCTTAGCAAGATTATCAAACTAGCAACTAAACATTCCAAAGAACTTAAATTTATATATTCTTATTTAATTAAAAAAAATGATTAGATCAAGACCTCAATTCCTTATCAACTTTATATATAAGAATCTTTCCGATATTAACAAGGATATTACTATTCACTTTGATATTCTTTACTCCACACTCGAAGGACTACTTAAAGAATTTACCAAAACCTTTTTACTGAACTCAACTATTCTAAAATCTTTACTTTCTACAACTTTGTTCTACCTTACTCTATTGCTAACCAAAACCTAGTAGCCCTAAATCTTGTATAACTACACCTTATTCTTAATGAGAAATATATAACTATTAATACAAAAAAATTTTGTAAAGATTTAAACATATGCTCTATTAGACTTTGATTTCATTATTATATTAGTGAAGTTGCCTTTTACTAACCACTTTTTAAAGTACAAAATAACAATCTATTCAATATTAATATTTTTTTAAATATACCCAAATATTATTTTCTTGAGACTTTCAAATTCTTTCTCTAAAAAATCACTTATTAGAATTTGACAAATAGTTTAACAAGTTCTTTAATATTTACAAATATTAATTTTCTAAAATTGATGAGAAAAAAAGTTAAAAACTATATTAAATATAAAATCGTACTCAAATTAGCCAAAACATGCAAAACACTTCTACTTGAAAAATTTTCTATCATGAATATTAGTTCTCTATGAGATCAATCTCAACAATGCTTTAAAGTAGCATTATACAATATTTATACTTGCACTATTTAAGGCTATTCTACTTTCTTATCAGAAAAGAAACATAATATTCAAAACTTATCTGAACTTTATTTTTAACAATCTTTTGAGCACTTTTCAGCTCTTATTTCTAGCATTTTATTCAAATCTAGATTTACACAATCTACTTTTTATCCACTTTAATTTAGAAAAAACTAATCAAACTCTACTATTTTTTCATAAACCTATATCTATTACACTCCTACACAAACACACTTATAAAGCTAAAATTAAATGCATATAACTTAACAAAGTAGATACTGACTATACTCATGAAAGTTATTACTTCTATTACTATTACTATAAATATCTTATTGCTGCCTCTAATAATGAACTTGATGGCTTCTATTCCTATGAAGTTATCAATAGAATTGCTTCAAACTTTGCTAATACTGATTTTCTTGCTCATATACTTACTTATTACTATATTTATAAATCACTTGACAAATTATCAATATGAGAAGTTCAAAAATATTACAATAAAAAAGCCTACTCTGAAACAAAAAAAACTATATACTCTAAATTTAAGATTAACTTTAAACTTCACAAATCAAACTAAATCTTTTCTGACCAACTTGAGTTACACCTTTCAAAACCCCAATACCTAATAAACAGATACCTAAATTTACTAATAATATAGTATCCAAAAATACTAATAACAATACTACAACAAGTTATACAAGCATACTCAAAACCTCTACACCTTTGATAAAGGATAATCTATAGGCTCAACAATATTCAGAAATCTTAATTATCCAGATAGTGATATTTCTAT